ATACTACTCATGAATGAACTCATACTAATTTCGGATATAAATTGAAATCATGTTGGTAGAACAAGTCGCCTGCCTTTTCTAGACGAATTGTTATCTTCAAGTGCATCCGTAAATATACTGCTAAAATACACAGCATAGGGAAGGCTGCCTTGTTGGGGAGATGTAGTTTGGCTAAGGCGCTGTGGCCGGGTGATGACACGGATTCTGAAACAATGGAGTTAAACACTCGCTTCTTGGCCCCGTCGACAGCAGCGAAGACTGTCATATACCGCCCCATTTACGAGTTGGCTGTACAATGTGTATAGTTGAAGGTGTTAAGTGTTGTCTTCTTCTAACAGCTACTAACGTGCGTGTGTTGTCTGTTTTTAGGATTTGCCCATTGATGTAAATATTTTTATTGCGGCGTTTTTTTGTTGAGTTCTGTCACTTGAGTGTTGCAGTTTGTTTAAGAATTCGTCACGTGAGCGTGGTGTTTTGCTTGTGGGAATTTGTCACAAATTGCGATTGTTATAATAATTGTAACGATTCATAATCTCATGAGTTAAGAATGGGTTTGTGCGAATGGGTTTGTGCGATCACACTATACGATCACACTGTGATTCTAATGCTTCTAATTATAATACCTTACCTCCGTTTAAATGGTTATAAATTAAAACACTAGTTTATAATCGTTTTATGTTCAGTGTTATCGTTCATAGTATTACAGTTTACATGTCATAGAGTACAGTGTATCCCCGACATACTTCGGAATTAGAGACTGGTACGTTGATGAACGATTAACTACGGGGACCTTTCCCCTCAATGAACACGTGTTAATCGGGTAGACAGCTAAGATGCTGCGGGTTAAGGGCACACTTGTGTGACGGAGATCCTTCACCTGAAATTCTCTTAACATGTTATTGCTAGGAACATTATAAAATAAAGACCGGACAAACATTTGTTAAAAATACGTTTTTATTCATCTGCAATCATTTTTACGTCAAAACTCGAAGGGAATATTTATTATGTCCTATGTTCACACATTTCCAGTACCATGCAAACCATTTCCGTTCCAGGAATACCAAAGCGTTAAAGTATCATTCCCCATGATTTCCTTATTAGTTCATCATGAAGTCAAGGCCATATATCCAACGAACGCGTCAATGTACATCCTGACATCGACTATCTAAAGTCAATCAGGTGGTGGCTGGCCAAACCATGTCTCGCTGTTTGTCTCCAGAGTGATGACGGATACAAACCAGACCAAGCGGAGACCATGTACCAGATCGGATTTTGGTTACTGATGTTAGAGTGGTTGTATTGCAAGCGTCTGTACGTGCTCACTCCCGAAGCTTGGCGGTTTTCGGCAACGCCACGGGGCTGCATTCACTTTAAATCGAGGACAATGGAGGGCATTGCGAACGTGTTTATCCATTTATTCAAAATAAGCGCATAATTACACACTGAGATGCACTTACATATTCATGCATGAAGCACAATGGGAACATTACTCTTCGGTATGTTAATAGACATGCGGATTGTACCTTCCAAAATTAACAATCGAATGCAAATATCCTGAAAGACAAATGATTGGATCCTAGGGGGGGAGTTATAAGGCGGCTCAGAAGCAGAGCTCAATGCCATTTCGAGAGGGAACTTGATGAGGTTGGACGCTCGACTCATCGCTCTGATGATCGCCCTTCAACCGCGAGACAACGCAGCCTGGCGAGCACAATTGCTGTGTCGACAGTTAGGCGACTTTGCGTCGGGAGAGTTAGTGGCGACATCTTCAGACGGGTTACAGACATCGATATACCGTGAATCTCCAAGTAAGTGTCTATTTTCGCGGATAAACTCTTAAACGTGTTCGTCGTCAAATTAGCGGTATTTTTTTGCGTTGCGGCCGATAGCGTACATTTGACTCAATAACACCAATGCTGTTACTACGCTCACATGGAGCAGAGACGCTCTCCACAGCCCCACGCACACGGAGGCAAGAAGCCATTCAATTGCTCTGTGTGCGGGAAGGCATTTTCACGGCAATCAAGTCTTCAGAGACACCAGAGAACACACACGGGCGAGAAGCCATTCCTGTGTTCTGTGTGTGGGAAGTCCTTTTCACGGCCATCACATCTTCAGAGACAACAGAGAACACACACGGGAGAGAAGCCATTCCTGTGCCCTGTGTGTGGGAAGTCATTTGCACAGTCATCACATCTTCAGATTCATCAGAGAACACACACGGGCGAGAAGCCATTCCTGTGCCCTGTGTGTGGGAAGACATTTGCAAAGTCATCAAATCTTCAGAGTCACCAGAGAACACACACGGGCGAGAAGCCATTCCTATGCCCTGTGTGTGGGAAGAAATTTGCAAACTCATCACATCTTCATAGGCATCAGAGAACACACACGGGCGAGAAGCCGTTCCTGTGCCCTGTGTGTGGGAAGACATTTGCACAGTCATCACATCTTCAGAGTCACAAGAAAACACACACAGTCGAGAAGCCGTTCCTGTGCTCTGTGTGTGGGAAGACATTTGCACACAAGTCACACATCAACAGGCATCAGAAGGTCCACAATGATAGGAAACTGAAATCAAAAGCTAAAATTCAAGGTGCTGCAATTGGTCCTGAAGAAGTTTCCACCTTCGATCCCATGCAGTTGGATCCCGAGAGATGGCTGGATGTAATGGAGTGGCTCGAGAGTCAACCAGAGAGCTCGGAGTGACTGAAAAAATATTATGTCATGTGGCTATACCTTTTAATCCGTATCGAGTACTTTTGTGTATAATTTTGACCATTTTTGTTTTACAGTTTTTGTGAGAGTTTAATGACGTGCACAGTGGTAGTTTGTAATGTTATCGGATTACTTGCCGATGTGGTGTGATGAGCACTGGTTGTGAGAGGGTTCAATTGTAGTCGTTAAGTGTTCCTGTTGAGCTAAAGTTGGAATGCGTATGATGGTACATCTTTACTCAACATTTTAAACGGGTTCTTTTTCAAGTATATAGCTTTTTTTGATTGGTATTAATCGACTTTAGATAGCCGGTTTTCAGGATGTACATTGATGACGCGTTCGTTGGATATATGGCCTTGACTTCAACATAGACCCACAGTGAACACATGTGGTGAACTAATAAGGAAATCATGGGGAATGAAACTTTTACGCTTTGGTATTCCTGGAACGGAAATGGTTTGCATTGTACTGGAAATGTGTGAACATAGGACGTAATAAATATTGCCTTCGACTTTTGACGTAAAATTATTGCAGATGAATAAAAACGTATTTTTAACAAATGTTTGTCAGTTCTTTATTTTATAATGTTCCTAGCAAAAACATATTCAGAGAATTTCAGGTGGAGGATCTCCGTCACACAAGTGTGCCCTTAACCGGCAGCATCTTGGCTGTCTACCCGATTAACACGTGTTCCTTGAGAAGAAAGTTCCCCGTAGTTAATCTTTCATCAACGTACCGGGGATAAACTCTACTTTATAACATGTAAACTGTAATACTATAAACTATAACACTAAACATTAAACGATTATTAACTAGTGTTTTAATTTATAACCATATAAACGGAGGTAAGGTATTATAATATCATTAGAAGCATTAGAATCACAGTGTGATCGTATAAGAATCACGCACAAACCCATTCTTAACTCATGAGATTATGAATCGTTTCAATTATTATAACAATCACAAATTGTGACAAAGCGAAATTCTCACAAGCAAAACACCACGCTCACGTGACGAATTCTTAAACAAACTGCAACACACAAGTGACAGAACTCAACAAAAAAAACGCCGCAATAAAAAGAACAACATCAATGGTCAAATCCTAAAAACAGACAACACACGCACGTTAGTAGCTGTTAGAAGAAGACAACACCAAGCACCTTCAACTATACACATCATACAGCCAACTCGTAAATGGGGCGGTATATGATAGCCTTCGCTGCTGTCGACGGGGCCAAGCAGCGAGTGTTTAACTCCATTGTTTCAGAATCCGTGTCATCACCCGGCCACAGCGCCTTAGCCAAACTACATCGTCCCAACAAGGCAGCCTTCCCTATGCTGTGTATTTTAGCAGAATATTAACGGACGCACTTGAAGATAACAATTCGTCTAGAAAAGGCAGGCGACTTGTTCTACCAACATGATTTCAATTTATATCCGAAAGAAGTATGAGTTCATTCATGAGTAGTATTCACTAAGCACCGATGGCACTAACCTACACACAGCTATGATTAAACAAAGTAAACATTAGTCGCTCATCCCAGCTCAGACATGATCATAGCAATTATTTCCAAGTTCGTGTCGGGTCCCACGAGAATAGGGCACGTTCACAAACTTTCAAATTGTAAACTCACAGAGCATACTCTAACATTATAAACTCTAACAATATAACCTTTAAACTATGAGCTATACATTGTAACGCTTTAAAATAACACTACAAACTAGTGTTATAGTAAACTATTATGTTGTGAACTCTAACAATATAAGCTATGAGCTATACATTATAACGCTATAAAATAACAATAAACTGTTGTTAAAGATTAGAACACCGTACATTGAAGTGTGATTTTTGAATTCGAATTCTTAGCTTCACACCGTGGTCCTCTAGGAATCACAATTTGCTCGTCAGTATGTAACATGTCTGTATGTAATATGTATGCATGAGATATGTCTGTATGTAATATGTATGCATGTAACATGTATGTATGTAATATGGACGTGCGAACCAATGGTGGGATATGTGAAACATGAAGGTGCAGAATCAGGATGGGATTACAATTATTTGAATAACACTTTGGTGGTATGCGCCGCAGCCTGGCTGCCCAGCAGATACCAAGGAGGAATTTTGGGAACAATTGATGGACACATGCAATCAAATAAATGGAGAAGAGCAGTTAGTAATTGGTGGAGACCTAAATGGACACGTTGGAAACGCCCGGGATGGATACCCTCGAAACCATGGTGGCCAAGGATATGGTACCCGGAACGATGAGGAAAACCGAGCCATGGACTTTGCGGAAGCCCATGATCTTGTCCTCGCCAACACCTTCTTCAAGAAGAGACCGTCCCATCTCATTACGTACGCCAGTGGTGGGATATCAACTCAAATTGATTTCTGGCTTGTCAAGCGGGATAAGCTGAAAACGGTGACAAACACTAAAGTCATACCATCGGACAACATCACCCCACAACATCGCATCCTGATCATGGACATGAAAATGGACATTGGCCAGCGACATCGCCCACCAACAACGGAACAGCAGCGAATTAAGTGGTGGCGGATGAAGGAATGCAAAGATCAGCTGAGAGTCGCCCTCAATCAGATTGACGTGAACACCAACCGACCAGCGAATGCGATTTGGGAAGATCTCGCCGGCCAACTGTGCACAGCAGCAACGGAAGCACTGGGGCTAACTAAGCCGGCAAAACACTTCATTGACAAGCAAATATGGTGGTGGAACGAAGAAGTTCAGCTAGCAGTGAAAGAGAAGAAGCTAGCTTTCAAGAAGTGGCGCAAAACGCTCGCAGATCTGGATTACCAACAATACAGAAACTGCAAATCGGCAGCGAAGCGAGTAGTAGCAGCGGTGAAATTAGCTCAATACGACCAACTGTATGTCGAACTGGACACCCCAGAAGGTGCCAATAAGATCTATCGACTGGCAGAGGCGCGCCATCGTTCGACTCAGGATATTGGTCAGGTCAAATGCATAAAGGATGAGAATCACAGCACTCTCAGAGACCCGCCCGCCATCCTTCAAGGCTGGAGCAACTACTTCTCTGGAATCTGCAACCAGGAATTTCTCCACCCACCTATTATTAGCGCTGAACACGTCCTCGATCCGGTTTCACCTATCACCATCACCGAAGTGGAACAAGCTATCAAGAGAATGAAGAATGGGAAAGCGACTGGCCCGGACGATGTACCTGCTGAGGCCTGGAAGATCCTTGGCAGGCAGGGTGCTGCCCTCCTTACCCAACTCTTCAGCACCATCACGAGCACCGGTGAGGTCCCAGAAGCCTGGTCGACCAGCACGACGGATCCAATTTGGAAGGGTAAAGGGGCCGTGGCAGAATGCTGGAATTACAGGCCAATCCGGCTCCTGTGTCATGCGATGAAGATCTTTGAGCGAGTTTTGGACACGAGGATTAGAAACATCGTCACCCTATCACCCAACCAATGCGGCTTCGTCAAAGGATGTGGCACTACGGACGCCATTATCGCGGCGAGGCTCCTGCTGGAGAGGCACAGAGAGAAGAACAAAGCTGTGCACGTGTCGTTCCTCGACCTTGAAAAGGCATTTGACAGGGTCCCCCACGACCTCATCTGGCACTCGCTTCGATCCCATGGAGTCCCTGAAACCTACGTGCATTGGGTGCAACTCCTATACAAGAACGTCACCAGTGCAGTCAGGTGTGCAGTGGGCATATCGCCGCCATTTCCCATCAGCGTTGGAGTGCACCAAGGATCGGCCCTGTCACCACTCCTGTTTATCCTGTGCATGGACACGATCACTGCCGACCTGCACACGCCCCTGCCATGGTCAATTCTCTACGCGGATGACGTCCTCCTCTCAGATGAAGAGAGAGGAGAAGTGGAAAGACAAACGCGCCTGTGGAAGGAACGTTTGGACGAAAACGGGATGAGGTTCAACATCAAAAGACGGAGTATATGGAGTGTGGCCCCCAAACCGATGGCACCATCAGCATTGACGGAGAAGATCTGAAGAAAGTGACGGACTTCAAGTACCTGGGTTCCACCATCAGCTCAGATGGTAGCATCACGACTGATGTGAGGTCACGAGTCAATGCGGCATGGATGAAGTGGAGGCAAGTCACCGGAGTCCTCTGTGATAGGAAAATGCCGGATAGGCTGAAGGGAAAAATTTACAAGACCATCGTCCGACCGGTGGCACTCTATGGATCCGAGTGCTGGCCAGCCACAACTGTACACGAACAAGCTCTCCACACCATGGAGATGAGGATGCTCAGATGGAGCCTCGGACTCACTCGATGGGATCGTGTCATGAACGAAGACGTTCGGAATCGACTTGGTGTGGCCCCCATTGCGGACAAGATGCTTGAGGCAAGGCTTCGGTGGTACGGCCATGTGATGCGAAGTGAAGAGTCATCAGTGGCCAAGACTGCCATGTGTATTGAGCCAGAGGGCCGCCGTCCACGCGGACGTCCGAAGAAGCGATGGATGGATCGAATAAAGGAGAAGACATAAAGACGGTCAACGCATCCCCTGAAGATGCCCTGGACCGAGACAAATGGAGAAGACAATGCCGAAAAGCGGACCCTGTGCCACAGCGGAACAACGCTAGGAATAATATTACCTATTGGGTTTCACTCCCTCGTCGAGACGGCCGCTCTCTTCCTTTTCTAAAGTTACATGCTAATTTCTCTGCATTCACTTTAAACCGAGGACAAAGTTTTTCAATTTATTCAAAATAAGCGCACAATTACACACTGAGATGCACTTACATATTCATGCATGAAGCACAATGGGCACATTACCCTTCGGTATGTTAATAGACATGCGGATTGTACCTTCCAAAATTAACAATCGAATGCAAATATCCTGAAAGACAAAGGATTGGATCCTAGGGGGGGAGTTATAAGGCGGCTCAGAAGCAGAGCTCAATGCCATTTCGAGAGGGAACTTGATGAGGTTGGACGCTCGACTCGTCGCTCTGCTGATCGCCCTTCAACCGCGAGACAACGCAGCCTGGCGAGCACAATTGCTGTGTCGACAGTTAGGCGACTTTGCGTCGGGAGAGTTCGTGGCGACATCTTCAGACGGGTTCCAGACATCGATAGACCGTGAATCTCCAAGTAAGTGTCTATTTTCGCGGATAAACTCGTTTTCGTCGTTGAATTAGCGGGATTTTTTTGCGTCTCGGTTTGACGCGAGCGTCGTTCTTGTTTTAGCCGTTCACAAAATCTAAAACTCAACGCTAAACACTTTAAATCGAGGCCGATTGCGTTCTTTTGACTCAATAACACCGCTGCTGTTGCTACGCTCACATGGAGCAGAGACGCTCTCCACAGCCCCACGCACGCGGAGGAAAGAAGCCATTCAATTGCTCTGTGTGTGGGAAGGCATTTTCACGGCCATCACATCTTCAGAGACACCAGAGAACACACACGGGCGAGAAGCCATTCCTGTGCCCTGTGTGTGGGAAGACATTTGCACACTCGTCACATCTTCAGAGTCACCAGAGAACACACACTGGTGAGAAGCCATTCCCGTGCTCTGTATGTGGGAAGACATTTGCACAGTCATCAACCATGAACAGCTGAAATTCAAGGTGCTGCAATGAGTCCTGAAGAAGTTTCCACCTTCGATCCCATGCAGTTGGATCCCGAGAGATGGCTGGATGTAATGGAGTGGCTCGAGTCAACCAGAGAGCTCGGAGTGACTGAAAAAAATTACGTCATGTGGTTATACCTATTAAGCCGTATCGAGTACTTTCGTGTGTAATTTTGACCATTTTAGTTTTACAGTTTTTGAGAGTTTAATGACGTGCACAGTGGTGGTTTGTAATGTTATCGGATTACTTGCCGAAGTGGTGTGATGAGCACTGGTTGTGAGAGGGTTCAATTGTAGTCGTTAAGTGTTCCTGTTGAGCTAAAGTTGGAATGCGTCTGTAGGTACATCTTTACTCAACATTTTAAACGTTTCAGTTTTCAAGTATAAAGTTTTTATGATTGGTATTAATCGACTTTAGATAGCCGATTTCAGGATGTACATTGATGACGCGTTCGTTGGATATATGGCCTTGACTTCAACAAAGACGCACAGTGAACAAATGTGGTGAACTAATAAGGAAATCATGGGGAATGAAACTTTAACGCTTTGGTATTCCTGGAACGGAAATGGTTTGCATTCTACTGGAAATGTGTGAACATAGGAACGTAATAAATATTGCCTTCGAGTTTTGACGTAAAATTATTGCAGATGAATAAAAACGTATTTTAACAAATGTTTGTCAGTTCTTTATTGTATAATGTTCCTAGCAAAAACATGTTCAGAGAATTTCAGGTGGAGGATCTCCATCACACAAGTGTGTCCTTACCCGGCAGCATCTTGGCTGTCTACCCGATTAACACGTGTTCCTTGAGGGGAAAGGTCCCCGTAGTTAATCGTTCATCAACGTACCTGTCCCTAATCCCGAAGTATGTCGGGGATAAACTGTACTCTATAACAAGTAAACTGTAATACTAAAAACGATAACACTAAACATTTAACGATTATAAACGTATAACCATATTCACGGAGGCAAGGTATTATAATATCATTAGAATAGTGGGATTCGAATAATTGTAGTTTGATTCTAATCCTGCATATCCTATACCCGGTTTGCATATTCACTTACCATACATAAGACACCAGTGTGATTTTAATTTGAGCACAGTGCGATTCTAATTATTCTTATTCGATTATAATCCCACTATAACAGTTAAAAGGATTTTACAGCGTTCATAGGTTATAATATTATGTTTCACTATGTTAGAGCTTAACATGTGAGAGCCTACAACTATCAGAGTTGATCAAATGCGACGATCAAAGGCGTCAATAGGGTAAGTTTGATCAGAGTCTTTGATCAAAGATTGCGATGATCATGTCTGAACTGAGAATTAAGTGACTAAATATTACTTTGTTTAACCATAACTGTGTGTAGGTTATCTTCTTGGTTCTTTCGGTAAAATAACGTAGAAGGGAAATAATAAAATAATACAAATAAAACAGAATAAAAAAATTATCACGACGTTTCGGCCACAACGCAGGCAACCGTCCTCAGGTGAAGAACAGGGCTGTCGGAAAGACAGCGTCTGAATGAACACCACCAAGCTTGGCAGCGTATATTTAAGCTGCAGGGGGAAGGGCGCCTTGACAAGGGAATTTGCATATCAACAGATGAAATTAGAATATTTATGGGAAATGCAGATATGGGATTAGTCACTACTTGTGGAATGCGTAGGAGGTGGGGGAATCTCAAAGTCATATTATGCCCGTGCATTATGTAGGATTAGCAGGAACAAAGGGAGGAAGTGGGGTTAGCAGTAATAAAGGGAAGGAATTTTAATTATAAGGAGCTGCAGCAGCCATACCACCACGTAAAAAACTAAACTATAACCTACATCAATATTATCAATATACTAAATATACTCTCCAATAAGCTGAGCTACTAACAGGAAGTAATAGTGGACGGGCATGTGAACTTTGCCCGTATGTATGTAATGTGTATGCATGCCATTTGGACTTGCGAAGCGGGGGGGTCGGATATGCGAACTGGGGCGTGCAGGATTAGGAATCGGATGAAAATTATTAGAATAACACTATGGTAGTATTATAATTACACTGAGCTAGAGTGTATGTTATATGTAGATGCGCATTGGGAGTCGTAAATGCAAACTGGGAGGTGCTCGGTTTAGAATAGCATCAAAATGAGTTTCATAACAACGTGGTCCTATTAGAATCACGCTATCAACAGCTGCTGATGTTCGGGTGGCGGCCGTCGATTCGGGCTCTGCTCTTCATTTCCTCGCCTGGATGGTGCCGCGGGATGCAGCGTTTCTGAAGGTGATGTTGTTGTTGCTGCTGCAGTTGCTGCAGTTGCTGCTGCTGCAGTTGCTGCTGCTGCAGTTGCTGCTGTTGCAGTTGCTGCAGTTGCTGCTGCTGCAGTTGCTGCTGCTGCTGCAGTTGCTGCTGTTGTTGCTGGTACTGTTGTTGCTGGTACTGTTGCTGCTTAAGTTTCAGTGGTGTTCCGTGATAGGATAACAAACTTTGATCAAATAATCTTATCAAACGAGTCGTTACAATTGTAACGAATCATAATTGCACGGGCTTATGTTGGGTTTGTAAGATAATTCTATATTTACATACTGAATATTGCTATTTGATGCCATTGAGATAGAACATTCACCCAGCAGTGGACAGCTTGATCCTAATACCACAAAAGTGTTATTCAAACAATTTTAATCCCATCCTGATCCTGCACCTTCCGTTTCACATATCCCACCCTTGGTTCGCACGTCCATATTACATACATGTTACATGCATGCATGTTACATGCATGTATGTAACATGTTACATACATACATGTTACATGTGTAGGGGTGTTAAAGAGAGGGCCCGTTATGCATGGCAGCCTATGGAAAACAAACACAGTGGGCGGGGCTACGTAAGTGCACGAGGAGGTGCCCTCTACGACGTCCGAGCCAGACACCCTGGGGGGGGCTGGTTCAAACGTTATGATCCCCCGGGGCCCCACCCCTCAGGGAGGGGTTGGGTATAAAAGGGGATGTTCAAAGGGCTCGAGGCAGTTATGTTAAGCTAAGGGAAGAAGACTGAAGACGTCTTAGATAGAGCCCTGGACTCCCCTAGTTCGATGTCCTTTTCAGGGCCGGACAGGACTGAGCCAGCGGCGTGGTCCCGAAAGCCAGAGCCGGTGCTCTTGTAAGAGCTGGTCTGGAACTCCGGGTACCGGGCCCGACTTACCAGTGTCGGGCCAGTTAGCCTCCCCTAGCCCATTAGTGGAGGATTCGGGGCTAGGACAGAGTTAGCTAGGGGTGTATCCCGAGTTATACGGGTGAGGGGGCCGATACCCCCTCGAGTGTGTATATGCCCACTGTCGTATTGTGAAATAAATATACGTGCACCTCCCTCCTCGGGTGGCGTCGTCGCGTCGGGGGTGCTGGGCGTGTGAAGGGTGATTCGGATGCATGGGAAATGGTGCAAGGTCTGCTGATGCATTGGGACGGCAAATCCCAGCGACATCGGCTGGTGGTCCCTTCTGGGTTGCGAGGCAAGGTGGTGTGGGCCGCGCATGAGCGCCTATTACACCTGGGGACCCAAAAGACTCTTGCACTGCTACAACTTGATTTTTTTTGGCCTGGCATGACGAGGGATGTTGGGGATCTATTGGGATCATGCCCTCGGTGTGCGCAACGGAAACCGCCGGCGCGGGAGTCTAACCCGCCCTTGCAATTGATCAAAGTGTCCAGAATAAATGAGCTTGTTGCGCTGGACATTTTGGGCCCATTTCCCGCCACCCCCAGGGGCAATAGGTATTTGTTGACTGGTGTCGAGTATTTTACACGCTGGCCTATGGCCTGGCCCCTGGCCAACCAGTCGGCAGCAGCCATCGTGGAGGCCTTTGTTCAGGGATACGTCCTGGACAAAGGTGCTCCGGAGCGGCTGCTGACCGACCAGGGCAGAAATTTTTCCGGTAAATTACTCAAACAAGTCTGTGACCTCCTAGGCACGAAGAAAATTCGTACCTCCCCGTATCACCCGCAAACTGACGGGATGGTCGAGCGCCTGCATCGCACCATTACGTCAATGATGTCACAGCAGGTCTCGGACTCACAGACTGACTGGGACCTGCATATTCAAGGGGTCTTGGCGGCATACCGGATGGCACCCCATGCAGCTACGGGATTTTCCCCCTTTTACCTCATGTACGGTCGCGAACCCGACCCGCCTGTTCGCGCCCAGCTGCAGATCCCCGAGCCGCAAGGGAAAACTAAATTGGCTGACCACGTCAAATTTAATCTGGCCAAATTAACAGAGGCGCGGGATGCTGCAATGCTAAACTCGGACCTCCGTCAAAAGGCGAATGAGCGCCTCAGGCTGGGTCGGGCGCACATGATACAGTGGAAGCCGGGGGACAAGGCATGGCTGCACTGTCCCCAAGTGCCACTGGCTACCTCCTCTAAGCTGGTGCGGCCGTGGCGGGGCCCTGTGGAGGTGGTCGAAGTTTTGCGACCACAGTGCGTGCGCATTAAATGGGGGAAGCGGCGATGGTTTGTGCACCCCTCTAGGTTAAAACCCTTCGTTGCGGTACACAAACCCACTTCACACATGCGTGGCCAAACGTGTGGGGGGTCGACCGACTCATTGGGTCCGTCTCCGTCGTTCTCACCTAATGCCTTGCCGGCCGTGCCACCTCCAGGTGCATCAGGACTGACGGGCTCACGCCCGACCACCCCTCTTGGGGATACCGACGGTCGCGCGGCATCGGATGAGGACTCACTCCGGGACGGACAATTGCCACCTGACGGTCCGCCACCCGGGGTTACCCCGTGTGAGGGGCCCGCTGCAAGGACGCGCGCAAAAATGCGCAGACTGTTATGAGGCCGGAAGATGTGTACATAGGTTGTGTTCATTGTGTGTTGTGTGGGTGGTGTGTTCCCTGCCCATTGAAATGTACATACGTTGGGTTCACCTGGTGTTGTGTGTATGGTGGGTTCCCTGCAAATTGTATATAGGTTGTTTTTTT